CCTCCCCCCCGGAGCCCCAGCATCCGCCCCCCCGGGCCTGCTCCTCGACCTCCATCAAAGTGGAGGGAGGTGGAGGGTGCGACCAGATCACCCCAGATGAGGAGCAGAGGCTCGGCCAGGCCGGTTTCATGCAGAGGCAGTTCGGGGCCATGCTCCAGCCGGGGGTCAACAAATTCTCCTTGAGGATGTTTGGCAGCCAGAAGGCCGTGGAGAGGGAGCAGGAAAGAGTTAAGTCTGCCGGGTTCTGGATCATCCATCCCTACAGCGACTTCAGGTACAACCCCCCCTTTTCCGGCCCACTCCAAACTAGCTGGGCTGCCCCTTCCCATGTCACCTCCCGCACAGGGCACCCACCCCGGCAGAACTTTCCTGGGTCATTTCCTAGCCAGAGGACACAGCCAAGATCTGCTCCACTCAAACAAGCTGCAGGTTTCATTTACATTGCACCCTCATTTTAGTGTCTCCATACTCTTAGTAATTTTAAATCGGTTTTAAACCAGTTGGCTTTGGCTTTTTATGATGGAAAGGTTCTCTTTAAGTTCATTGTAAATGGGGAAAACTGTTCCCACCTGATGCACAACTCTAGACTAAAAGCGTGGTGTCTGATCTTAACTAGTCCTGCATCTCCATGGATGCTCTGCCTGATTGATGCTTCCCGTTTTCATACCTCCGAGTCCTCTCCCTGCTCCTTCCCAAGAGTTAGGCAGGGATGTTGCTACTGTTGCTGCTGTGTAGGTGTCTTACTGCAGCATGGCTTGTCAGGAATTGGGATGTGCAGGGGATGGCAGTGTGCATTAACAAGGTTCTTAACAGAGAAAGAGCCTCTTTTGCATCTGTACATCTCATTTGCAAAATTAGTTTGGATTGGGAATAGTTAACACCGACTTTGCCAAAGTCAGTAATGGCTTGCTCTCACTCCACAGCAACATCTCCGTGGAGGTTAATAAGGAACTGAACTTGGAAACCCTAGAGCCAGTTTTTGTAAAGTCCTGCATAGAAGAGGGGCTATGTTTGTGTATTTCTGAGCAAAGTGTCATCTGCTGCACAGGTGAACTGTCCTCTGCAATATGTATGTAAAGCACTGCAATCAATAATTAATTACTGTGTACAATCAATGGCTAAGGTTTATTGCTTCAACTTTAATTACAACAGGCTTACATCTCACATTTAAAAGCACACAGGAGAAGAATATTATTTAAACATATCTTTGTCACACTACGTGATTTTATTGAATTTGTGGACTCTGCAAGGAACCGTGAGTGATTCCTGAAAATACAGTTAGTGAGATAATTGCAGGAAGGAGTTTTGGGGTGGATTTGGCCTCCCAAAGGCAGGAATGATAAACGTCTTGACACCTATTAGGGATTTAGCGAGCAGCCCACACGCTTAGTGGATTCAGCACTGGCACTGACCAGATTCCTTGATATTTGCTTGGATTAACAAATGTTATTAGAAGGCTCTGTGAGTTGGAGGACTGCACTGTCATTTACATTCAGTGCATTCAAGTGTCCCAAGCACACAGCTGACTGAGCTTAGGAGGGTTTCCAGCAGCTCCAGCATGATGCAGAGTCCTTGTGAGCACAGCCTTACCCAATCCCATGCTGGAAGCAGGGGAAAATTGCCTCCCAGTGAGACTGACCAAGTAATAGCTCCCAAACACAGAAATGTGAGAATGAGCACCTTTCAAGAGAACAATACCAGTTCCATACTCTTGGCTATATTTGCAGCTTTTGCCGTGGGTCTGGAGTTTACCAGCTGTGTTTTCTTGGGTAATTCCAGCAAGGTGTGCTCTGCGTGTCGTGCCCTCAGGAAATTTGGGGTTTAGTCTCTGTGTTGTATCTTGAGCTAGGCAAAAGCAGTGTTCAGCTTCCATGTCCTTCTGTCTCTGTAGTGGGTTTATTCCCTTCTATATCTGTGCCTGTTTTCAGTGCAGAACCAGCATGGCAAACTTGAGCAGCAGGAGCTGAGGTAACCACCTTGGCCAAGGTGAGATGGTCCCAAGAGTTTGGGATTTTAAGGTTCCTACAGAACCAGAGCTTATTCCACAAGACGATGAAGTAACTTTTCATTCCTGAGGCACTTGGTTATGGGGCCTCTCCTAAGGAATGGAGTCTGCTGGCAAGCCCTGGCTCCCTGAGCTGGATGATGCCACGGAGCTGCGGGCACTGAGCTGTCCGTGGGTGCGTGGGTGACTCCTGGTGTTAATAACAGAACCTGACAAAGCTTGCAGTCCGTGCAGGGAAGGCACAGGGAGCTGTGTGTCTGTACCTGGGGCACATTCCAGGTGGGCTGGTTTCCTTCTGAACTGGTGTAGCAGCCCAGCCCAGCAGCACGGTCTGTGTCCCCGCTGTCCCCCTGGGCTGGGCTGGGGCAGTGGGGTGAGAGTCTGGAGCCATGTGCCGAGGCCAGGAGGAGCTGGGTGCACCACTGCCTGCTCGGGGATATTTCCAGGGAGGCTTTGTTCACCCCTGTTTCTAGGTCACCTGCAGCAGATCTGTTTGGGTAGGAACACTGCTTAGAGAATGTGCCTGGGCTTCCATGGAAAGTGACCTGTGGACAATGGCTGCTTTGAAGGGGAAGAGTGGGAGCCCTCCCACCTTCTGCTGGGGCTTTGTGTTCCCTCTTGCCCTCTGCTAAAGCATCTCTCTTGGAAACAATTCCCGTGAATATGGCTAACGTTTTTTGACCTCTGAGATGCAGCAGATTGCACCAAAGAGCAGATCTTACCAAAATATTTGCAAGAGCTGTATCGGTGCCCCAAAGGAGGGTGTTTTGTGCTGGGGGAATTACGCAGTGCAATTCCTGACTGCTCCCTGTTCCAGCCGGCTGCGGATTCCGGAACCTCGGGATCTTGGAGGTTCCATCATCCTGCCCTGTGCTGGCACCCAGGCTGTGCAGCAGTGTTTGCTGGTCAAGAGTTTGCCTTTGGAGGAAGCTGCCTCCCCTCTCGAGCGAGGCGCGTCTCCAGGCAGGTTCTGCTGGGGCTCCAGCCCTCGTGACTCCCGGCTCCGAGCAGCTGGAGCTGGGAAGTTTGCATGGAACACTGCAGGCCGATGCACTGCTGTGAAATGACATTGGTGCCATTCTCTGACTCCACGGAGTCGCTGCTCCTTCGCGCTCCGCTTCCAGAGGAGTTCCTGATTTAGAATAGAACAGAGGCTTTCATCATTGTCTCATTAAATTATCATTTTAGCATCTAATAGGGCTAATTCCAGTGGCAAATCTATGACCCTCCAAGAGTAAAACAAATTAATATAGATTCAGGCTCTGTTGATCTCTGCTTTTAGTCCATTGTGAGGGGAAAAGACATCAAATGACCTTTATAAAAATCAAGCTCGGTGCCCCTGAGTACTCCTGACTAATGCAGTGGGCTGGTTCTAGAAGCACTTAAAAGGTGTCTTAGCAACTTGTAATGAAAATTAAGAGTCCTGGCTCCCATTCTGAAGTGCAGATGTGTGTGCTGGCAGCTGGAGTTCATTTGCATCTGTGGTTGATTGCACATCAGTGCAGAGCCACACTGTGTTTTCTAGATCAAGATTTATCTGTGATTTTGAAAGCTCTTCCACTGGGTAGACAGAATTGTATTTTATTGCTTAGAGGAAGCATTGATCTAGTACAATTGGTTTAATAAAAAAATTCCAGACAAACAATGATCTGTCTAGTTTGTAGCTGACTGAAGCATATGGGATGTAGCTGCTGCCCAGAATTGCTTGCAAAAGAAGCGTAGCATGCTGCTTTTAGAAAGACCTGAGAACAGATACACTATCAGAGGGCCCAAAATAGTCCCAGCAGTGGATGTAAATAGAAGTGCACATTATTCACTGCCCAGTAATCTATTAACTTCCTCACAGTGAAGAGAAGCCGCTGTCTCTTTGAAAACAATGGCAAACATTCCGCTCGATAGCAGACCCAACTACAGATTTTAGAATTCTTCTTTTCACTGCTCTCCATTACTTGTAATACTTGTGTGCAAACAGATCCTTTCTTTCCTTTGCTTCCTCTGCCAGTGCTCCCTGCCTGCTGGGACCCTGGGGAGGTTTCTGTGGCAGCAAAATCCAGGTGCTCAGGTGTGAGGTATAAGGGGAAACAACAAAATCGCTGCTTCCCTTCTTGCTGCAGTGTCCCTCAGCCTCCCTTCACCAGGGGGATCGGTGGGATTTAATAATTATAGTCCTAAACAGCTGTACCCAATAGCACTGTGGGATGGAGCAGGAATGGGAAGGATGTGTGCTTACCTTTCCCACCCTCCTGAGCAGGCCTGATTTCCAGTGCCTCTCTGGGTGCTGCTCTGGCTGCGCACACTGTTCTCACTGGGAAGCTTTCCCCCGTGCTTTCGAAGGGTAAACAATTTGTGGAGAGTCCAGCAGTGGTGACTGACTTTAGCAGCTTCCTTGGGTGGGGGTTGCTCCCTGCTCTCAGGCAATAATGCCCATTTCTCCTCCATCTCTTGGCCAAAGTGCTGCTCCTCGTGCTGCCCTCCCTCCGTTCCCGAGTCCATGACTCGCCCTTTGCTCCAAGCCATGGAGCAGGATGTGCAGCACTGGGAATTCTGGCTCAGGGAAAGGGCAGGGGGCAGTGGCTTTGATGGCAGGACTGTACCTGGCATTGGAATCCAACGGGGAGTGCCAACAGGCCAGGTTTGGAGGGGGCAGCTCCCAGGCTTGGCTCTCTTCTCTTTGTGGTGATGGGGTGTCCCTGGGGTAGCAGGGAGACAAAATCTGCCTTTGCTGCAGAGAACTTCCCAGCCAATTCCCAAGGCATTTTGCTGGAGCAGAATGAGGGGATCCCAACAGAAATCATACATAGGATAATCCAAATTCTGCTGAACACATGATTGGGTCTCTGTTATCTTCAGTGGACTTTCTGTCAGAAAGAACCAGAAGAGCCATGGCTTTGTGACCGTGACCTAAGGGAGTGAAACTCCTGCATCCATACTTCCCACATCCATAGGCAAGTCAGGCTTCATGCCCCAGCTCCCTGGTCAGGAGGCAGAGGATAAATAATCCCACACCAGACAGTCTGTGCAGGAGTACAGCTTTTTGTAGGAAGCATGTCCACATGCCTGAGCTGGAAAACAGGAAGGCCTCAGTAAAGGCAACACCTCAGTGGGTCACCATGGTAAAATATTTTAGGACTAATATATTGCGGTATTTTTATGTGGAGAAAATGAGATAAAATAACATAAATAAATAGTAAAGCAAGCATTGAGATTTAACAAAAAGAGCTGTGGTTAAGATTTTTGCATCAACTTAAGCCAGGCCCTTCATACCAATC